CGTCATTAAACATTTTCAAGAGACAGGTAGATTCTTGTTAGGCAAGAGAACCAAGGGCTATCAGCAAATTCAAAACACAAAAAAAACACAAATAGATTAGCCATGATCTTAATGAATGATTGAGCAGGCTAAAGGGACCAAATAGTCTATTTCTGCTTCTATTTCAAATATTCATTTGTAAATGGTACACACTGCTGCTACTGTGTCAAGTCAGTGGTGGAGGGAGTGGATTTGGTGTCAATCCAGTAGACTGCTTTGTCCTGGATAGCGTCAAGCTTCTCGAGCGTTGTTGGAGCTACAGTTGTCCAGGCAAGTGGGGAGTGTTCCATCACACTCCTGACTTATGCCTTTTCAACGGTGGACAGACTTCAGGGAATCAGGTGATTTACTCATTACAATTTTCCTAGCTTCCCACCTGCTCTCACTGCCACAGTATTTATATGATGAATCTACCTCAGCTTCTGGATGTTAATAGTGGGGATTCAGTGACTGTAATGCCATTGAACGTCAAGAGCAATAGGTGGATTCTCCCTTGCTGCAGATGGTAATTACCTGCTACTTCTGTGCCATTAATCCTACTTGCCAGCCTAAACATGGATATATTTGGGTCTTGCTGCATTTGGATGTGTGTCAATACAGTGTGGAGCTGGAGGAACACAGTAGGTCAGGCAGCATCAGAGGAGCAGGAAAACTGATATTTCAGGTTGGGATCCTTCCCATCAACTTTCCTGCTCTTCTGATGCTGCCTGACCTGCTGTGTTCCTCCAGCTCCAAACTGCATTGACTCTGACTCCAGCATCTGCAGTCCTTGCCATCTCCTGCATTTGGATTTGAACTGCTTTAGTGCCTAAGGAGTCATAAATGGTGAAGATTGTGCAATTATCAGTGAACATCCCCACTTCTGACCTTATGGTGGAGGGATGGAGCAGCTAAAGGTGGTTGAGCCAAGAACACTTACCCTGAGGAACTCCAGCAAAGGTGCCCTGGAGCAGAGATGACTGACCAAAACCAGCTTCCTTTGTTCTGGATATGATGCCAATGCCAACCAGCACAGAGTTGTTTTCCCTTGGTTTGTACTGCCTCTAGTTTTGCTGGGGCTTATTGATACGACATTCAGTTCAATGCAGTCTTAATGTCAAGGGCAACTACTTTCACCTCACTTGTAAAATCCATCTCTTTTACCCATGTAGGAGTTGCAAAGTCATTAGCAGCCTTCCCCCATGCAGCACAAATTGCTGCTCCCTTTGTAATCTGACACTTGGCCTCTGTTCCAATGAGGAAAGACAAAAACCTTCAACAGCTCGTTTTTTTTCCAGCAATAATGTAATACCAAGCAAATAATTTATGATTCCTTCAAATGCTATTGAAGAAATCAATAGTGAAGGGTGTTCTTGTGATTTTTAATGTGCTCAGGGAAACACTACAACCTCCCATCGATGACAAACCCTTCAACTCAGGAACCTCAGAAAAACGGTGTTCAAAACATTAGTTGATTGACTTTGCAACCCAATTCATTTGCAGCTTCTTTGGTACAAGCTAAAGCTTTAAAAGTTTAACTGGCGTTTATCCAGCACCCTAAAAATATCACAAAGGGCTTTGCAGTCAGTGAAGCACTTTTGAAGTGCAGATACATTGGGATGAATGAAAGCCAAAGAGAGAGAATGGTTTTTGCAATTAAGGAGAAACTGGTTCCAAAGGTGGGCAGGTCAAGGGACGAGAGCACCCAGACTTACGGAGACTAGTATAACCAGCATTAATGTTCGAAAGGAAAATGTTTAAAAACTTAAACTGGAAAACAAAATATAGGGGAGTGGGGGAAAAGCAAAAATAAAAAGTTTAAAATGGCAGTTGAACTGAAAATAAAAGTCATTTCAAGCTGCTGCAAAAGAGAAATCTTCTCCCTCTGGATGAATGAATAAGTATCAAATGATCTTTACCTCTATTGGCATATGTCAATTTCACTAATGATGTAACACTGGCCTCTAATGGTAGTTTACTTGTACTACAGAATGCAGAATATCATGCAGGTTATGTGACTACAACCAAAGAACTAATAGTGCCTCATCGCATCGCTGCCCAGAAATTCAGCTGCTCCACAGCTGCAATACATCAGGCACGGGCACCCTTAAGGCAGAAGTATAACCACCATCCAGATCAGGGATAAATTCCAGCCTAGCGTGCCATGGTCCAATCTGAATGTACTACAGCCAAGTTTGCAGATGATAAAAATCAGAGAGAAGCCAAGCGCTGAGGATCACAAGGAGTCTGCAGAGGAAACAGACAGGTTAAGCGAGTGGGGTGAAGACTGGGCAGATGGAATATACTGGGGTACGATGTTTGGTTAAATACTTTGGTAGGAGGAATAGAAGACCTGAATGTTTTTTTTTAAATGGAGAAAGACTGCAGAAAGCTAGAGGAGAGGGATTTGGGAGTCCTCATCCATGAATCACAAAAAGCTAACATACAAGTTCAGCAGGTATAAGGTGGGGGCATCTGGATTGTTTTTCCAAACGGAATGGAGTATCAAAGTAGGGAGGTTTTGCTAAAGCTAGACAAGGCACGAGTCAGAAAACAGCTGGAATGCTGTAAAGTTTGGTCCTCTTATTTAAGGGAAGTATACTTCATTTGAGGCATTCCAAAGATTGCTCACTAGAAAGGGATTTTCTAAAGAGGCGAAGTTGGGTAGGTTGGGCCTATACTCACTGGAGTTTAGAAGAATCAAAAACAAACCAGATGCAAGATTCTTAAAGGACTTGACTTCTTGGGGCAAATATGGAAATGCTGCTTCCCCCCCTGTGGGACAGTCTAGGACCAAAATGGGTACAATCTCAGAATAAGGGGGTGCCCATTTAAGACTGAGATAAGGAGGAATTTCTCCTCTCAGGAGGTGTGGAATCCTTTACTGCAGAGAGCTGTTGAAGCTGGTCATTAAATGTATTCAAGGTTGGGATAGATTTTTAATCAGTAAAGGAATCAATGGTTATGGGGAAAAGGCAGGATAATGGGTTTCAGGGTTATCAGATCAGCCATGATCCCATTGAATGATAGAGCAGACTCAATGGGCTGAAGGGCCTACTTTTGCTCCAATGTTTAAGGTCTTATGGGCTGCAACCCCTGATCCAAACGGGGACTGAACATGTGTAAATATCCAGAGTGATCCTGAGAATCAGTCTTGGCTGGTGATGCCTCCCAAAGTTCAAGAGCCCAGTCAACAACACATACAACAGAATGAATGAACAGGATGAAGCTGTTCAGCCCCTACTACAGAACCTTGGAGAATGGATTCAAATATCAACAGAAAGTACTCTGAATGGGTGAAAAACTACAGTCTGTGGAAGATCAAAGGAATTTAGGGGCTCCCACAAACAGACCATTAAAAATAGTCCATTAAAAGGTACAAAAAAACTCAAAGGACCAAAGGACACCAACCTTCATGACAGGAGGACTACAACATGAGGCGGGGGTGCAGGTAGAGATCAGACTTCAGCCTTACAAAACCTTGCTTATGGCACGCTGAGGCACAACATTTTAGGATGTATGTATATTGGTGCAAATTTATGAGAGCAATATTTGGACTCTAGGATTAAAATAAATGATGAGTACACACAGTACGATTGCGTGGACTGGAATTTTGAAGATGACGGTGTATTTGGAAGTTTTTAAAGTAAGAAGCGAGATTGTTGGGTAAATGGTCAAAAACTACGTCCACTGTTTGAATCAGAATCCCTACAGTGTGGAAACAGGCCCTTCGGCCCAACAAGTCCACACCGACCCTTGGAGCATCCCACCCAGACCCATTCCCCGTGAACTCACCTAATCTACAGACCCCTGAACACGACAGGCAAGTTAGCATGGTCAATCCACCTAACCTGCACATCTTTGGACTGTGGGAGGAAACCAGAGCACCCGGAGGAAACCCACGTAGACACAGGGAGAATGTGCAAACTCCACAGAGACAGTCGCCCGAGGGTGGAATTGAACCCGGGTCCCTGGCACTGTGAGGCAGCAGTGCTGACCACTGAGCCACCGTGCCGCCCATACTGAGCTACCGTGCCACCCATTGGAAGTTTAAGACAACAGGGCATGAAACTAAGGATGATACAGAGAGCACTTTAGGGGTGAAATGAGGGAAAAACAAGTACTGGTAAAAGGCAGAGATAGTAGGAACTGCCAATGCTGGAGAATCTGAGATAACACGGTGTGGAGCTGGATGAACACAGCAGGCCAAGCAGCATCAGAGGAGCAGGAAAACTGATGTTTCGGGTCAAGACCCTTCTTCCGGCTTCGCAGTGGAGTTAAAATTGTTACAGAGATAGTGGGAACTGCGTATGCTGGAGAATCTGAGATAATACGGTGTAGAGCTGGATGAACACAGCAGGCCAAGCAGCATCAGAGGAGCAGGAAAACTGATGTTTCGGGTCAAGACCCGAAACATCAGCTTTCCTGCTCCCCTGATGCTGCTTGGCCTGCCATGTTCATTCAGCTCTACACCGTGTTATCACTGGTAAAAGGCAATTGGAATTTTGGAACTCTTCCGCAAAAGGCAGCTGGTGCTGGGCCAGTTGCTATTTCTGAAATGGGAATTGACAGCTTTCTGTTGAGCAGGCTATTAAGAGAGGGGGAGAAAAGGCTGGTCAATAGAGTTAGTCAAATCTTACTGAGCAGTAGACCAGTCACAAAGAGTTAATCGCCCTCTTCCAGTTCCTGTCACCCTATAACCTCATGATCAAAACCCAGGTCCTGCCTCTCTCCAAAGCCTACCGTGGAAAGAGAGGCTCCCCATATTCCTCCTCAATCCCCTCCAAGATCCAGAGAGGCTCAGTCAAGTTGTGCCTTATTCCAAATGGATATGAACACAGTTTCTGTGATGTGCATCTTCCTCGTTTCTCAGCAATTACAGAGCTGAGAGACAGAGCGAGAGAGAGCACGAGAAAATCACAACACAGGGAGAGTTACGTTTTGATCTTACCCACCGCTGCTAGGAAATAAGTGCCAGAAGCGAGGCAGACAAGATGTTTTATTTCACTTTGTCAGGGCAGCTGGACAATTATGTTAAATGCTGTCAGTAACACACTGAGTGTTTCTAAATGTCTACACTGAAGGATCAGACAACAGGGCGATTCTGCATAATATATACACAACATATTACAAAAGAAACATTATTTGGAGTTATTTTAACACAGTAATTGATTGTTTTGATCTTTTTCTTTTCACCAAGTGATTGTTTCAAAGAGCTGAGGTGAACTTCACAGGATTGTGTTAACATGTCCTGACACAGGATGATAATCCTCCAAATGAACGGTGTAAGCTGGTTAAAATTTGGATCTTGTCAGAGACACGAACGTTCTAAGTTAAGGCACTGCCACTTCATAAACAACAAAAAAAAATATCAAAACATGATTTTTCTTTGTCTATGCCCTCCCCATCGCATCCTTCACCAAAATATGACATCGCTGGCAGCTTGCAGTTTCTCCAGCCATGAAAACGGCTGCCTCCCTGACTTTTGTCAGACTGATTCCAGTTACGAAATGCCGAAATGTTTTGGCACCACCGCGGCTCACCAAGATTGACACAGACGATAAAATGCACAATTTAGAACAGGTAGGACCTTTTGAAAGAGGTACATGATTCATGAAAATGAAGCACAGTGACAAAGACCTACAGGATGACTGTCCCATTTGTGTCCTGATTCCTTCTATATGGAGATTTACTGACAGAACAACATTGAACAGGAGAATGAAGGTAATTGACAAAGACATGCAGACTAAACAATGACACAGAGGTGAACATACATGCAACATTGGAACACCATCCATCCCCGTCCCAAGCCCGAACCCTGTCCCTCTCAGACCTCACTTGTCCCAAACCGTTTCCATCCACTCTCGCCTGCTCCTCCATATTAGGACATTCGGCTGGGTTTCGTGGATCCCTGCACACACGACGGAAAGTAGCAAGACGTGGAAGGAAAGAGAATTTAAGAAATTAAACCTTCGCCACTTTCATCCCCAAAACTCTCAATTGCAAGCTGCTGTTGGACAGTCAAATTCACAGAGCATAAGTTACTACCCCACCCAAACCCATAGGGATAGGGAAAAGGACAGTCCCCGACCCACTGTCCCACCCAGTCCCCAACCCACTGTCCCACCCAGTCCCC